GGCACAGCCCGGCCTCGGAGCGTTGTGTTCGAATGAATCGTAGCAGCACGCAGGACACTTAGAGAACTTCGAAAGCAGCTTCTTTAGTTGCGTGACTCGTGGTTAAAAAACACTTCCATACTGAGGCAGTATCATTTTGTTTAATTTTTTTTCCCAGGTATAATTTTATTTTAAAAAAAAAATTTTGTTGAGGTTCGGTGCTTTCTAAAGGGCTCCATGGAAACTTCGAAAGGAAGTTTAACTTCTGCAAGTTACTGTTTTGGAAATGTTTAATGTAGCGTACAAGTTAGTAAATGGGGTCACGAAGCTGTGTATAGTTCTCTTTTCCTGCAGAAAATAGTGCTGCCTTATAGAACTGCACATGGGAGAGGTTACTGCTGGAAATAACTAAGAATATTTCAGGATAGCTTCTGAAAACGTTAGTACATACAGTATATCAAGCTTTCTGCTACACTTCAGGTGATATTTTATCAGTCTTTGGCCTTGGTGTTTTTACATAGGTAATTATCCACATTATTAATGTAGCCCTGTTAGCGCGGTATGTGGACATAGGAAAATGCGTAGCATCCTTTGTTTCACAGCAGCTGCTGTAGAGTCGAAAACTGCTGTCATTCTCCTTTTAGAGATTGGAGGAACTGAAACACGGAGAACCTCTTAATAGAAAGGTTGACTAGAAGTTTGATAGAATCATGGAATGGCCTAAGTTGGAAGGGACCTTAAAGGTCATCTAATCCAACCTCTCTGTCATGGGCAGGGAGGCCTCTCAACTAGATCAGGCTACTCAAGGCTCCGTCCAGCTTGACCGTGAACACCTCCAGGGAGGGGGCAGCCACATGTTTATCTGAGAAAGGCTTGAATATGGATGTCCTCAGTCCCAGGCAAGTTCCCAAACTTAAATAGTTAAATAGTTTTCCCCTGTCTTACCATGTACCTTTCTTAAATATTTTCCTGATTTTATCGTAGTATCATGTTGGCCTGAGGCATTTTGAAAAAAGGTGAGGGAAACAGAGAAAGAGGACTCAAAAGAATTCTGAGAATTTGATATTGTAGTTTACATAACTGAGAATTGGCCAAGTTTTAAATACATCTCTTCTTATTCATAGGAATAGAGTTTGTTATCCTTCCTCTGCTATTGTGTAAGTGCAATGTGAAATAATCTAGTTTTTATCAGCAGTACTGCTGAAAAAAGCATTTGAAAATTCCTGAACTTACTTCAGATGTGCAGCTAAACAAACTTAAGACTTTGAAGACAAATTAGTTCTTTAATTCTACCAAAGTTAATATATTGATGTGAAAAATAAACTATACTTTTCATAATGAAAGAAAATGAGTCTAGAGAAAGGTATCTGGATCTTATAAAATACAAAGTTTCAAAGACTTTGGGGGCAGTTGCTGCCATTGTGTAAAGTAACCCCTACTTTGGAGGGAATTTTGTTGACTTGTGTAAAATCCTTCTAAAAATGCCTTTGCAGAGTTAGCAGTTGGCTGATGTGTAGGCTAGAGCATTCAAGGGGAGCTCCGTTCTGCTGTCTGATGACTTTTCTTGGACCATGGAAGAGCATTACAAAGTCACGCTAGTTTTGTTAGTGCTGGAGTTTACAACTGCCTAAGATTGTATGTTATTACAATGTTTTCAGTTGTAAGTTTTCCAGACTCTATCGTGGAGGGCCAAACCGAGTATGAATCTGTCCTGAAGCCTGTTCCAAAGTGGGTGTCAGAATTCTGAGAATGGTGGAAGGGACACAGTAAACTTGACTCTTTTTGAGGCAGTTTCTGAAGTGTTACCTATTTGGAGATTCCTCAGAAGGCAAGTGTGGTTACTGAGTGTGACTGCTGTCCTGTAGCGTAGCTATTGACAAGATTTTGGAAGATAACGTGGAATGAGAAGAGAAGAGGGAGAGTGGGAGAAGGAAAAAGTGCCCTGGAAACACAGGTATAATTTACAGAGGCAGCAATACAATAGATATACCTCCTCGTCTTAACACCCTGATTAATTCATGTGTTTCCTGCACTTGTGCTTTAGTGCCATCACAGTTTTGTGTTATTGCTGCCCTGTTGTCTTTAAGCTCTTTTATGACCTCGGGTGGCTCATGGTGTTTTCTACAATTATTTTGGAAATATGAGCAGTGTACGTGACAGTATATAAAAGAACTTTATAATATGGGAGATGGTTAGTTAGAAGCATATAATTTCAGAGGAGTTGCTTGACCAAGATTGGTATTTTCCTACTGTTTAGCCTTTGACTACGTGACTACTGTGCATTATGCCTAAATACAGACTTAATTATGCAGTATAAAAGTCCTATATTTTTTGTTTAATAGGTAGTTATTACTGTGAAGCAGTTGTCTTTAAACTGAAAGAAAATCACTGTGGGCTGCTTATTTTCCGAGTATTTGTTGCTCTCTCGGATTTAGCTACATAAGTAAAAATGGTTTGGTATATGTTTTGTTAGGGTTTTTAGACTTTGACACTAAGGAACTAGAGCTATAGTTAGGTATATTGTAGAAGTGTTGAAATGTCTACCTCTCTAGTGCATCCAGATTCAGGAACAGAGAGGAAACATGGACTTTGTCTCACTGTTCAGGAAAAAATAGTTTTAGAGAATGTGTTTTCTCATTATTGTACAATAATATTAAATATATATATATTTAAAACTCATTCTGTCAAAAAGCATTTTGTGAAGAAAATAAGCATTCAGAAAAATTATTTTTAATGCTATCATTGAGAAGTTACTAACAGTAACAAAACCATTTCATATTGCTTTTAACTCATGATATGATTTTAAAACCCTAAATACTGTTTACTTTCCTTTCTACTGTTAGACCTTGTTTAACAGCATCGTATTTCAAAGTTCTTCAGTGTAAGAAGGTTCCCATTTTTTGTTCCTTGATTGAACTTAGAGTGAAAAGTTTTGTCTGAAATTGTTGTTTTTCTCTGTACTTTTTAGCCAGGTATCTTCTTTTCTTAGGCATGCCTTCATCTTCAAATATTCTGAAGAACATTATTTTTCAACCTTGTAACAACTCGCTATGAGATTTAGTTGATTTGCAAAGATGTGTTGGCACAGTCAGATTTTGATCAAGTAATGTGACAAAACTTTTGTGTACTAAATTTCACAGCAGTTTCTGTATTGTACATATGTCTGTAAGGGTATTTTTAGAAGTGTTGAATAAGGAATTATAAACACAGAATGAGATTCTGTTGATGTTTTCTGTTGTTTGTTTGGGTTTCTTTTGTTAATTGCATAAGCATGAAGGGATGATCAAACCAGGGACTGGGCTGCAGCCTTCACTGAGAGCATGGGCTTTCTTTTAACCCTCCTGCTTCTCCCTTCAGGGTTCTCCCTTGGCTTATGTTTTCCAGCTTTTCCCCCAAAACAGCTGCCTGAGGAAGGCTCAGTACTAGTGTTCACGAGATTGCTGCTGCTGTTCAGGTGCTGGGGATTCTGAAGAACACTCAGTTTGATAAACACAGTGCAGAGAAAGCCAGGTGGGCCTGCTTGGAAGCCAGGTCTGTGCAGCCCCTGTGGCGTGGTGGCACATCCTTCGTCAAGGTCGTTTTTCATTGATCGTTCCCAGTTGGCAATGGGCACGTGCAGAAATCTGAGCTGTGTTTTCTCTCTAGGCAGTTTCACTGGCAACATGGAACCAGTAGGATGTGGGGAACAATAGCTCTAGAAGGCATTGTTTGTTTGGAATGTGTCTTCATCTGGAAGATACGTTATTCAGCTATAGATGTGCCCTACATTAAACAAGACATGTTTTTCAGCACACAGCTCTTTGTAGTTTGTGGTTTTTTACTCCTCTGAGGTGAAGTGCATCTTGTTTCTTGCTTTACCATTGAAATATTCATAGCTGAGTTGAAAAGATTTAATTTGGAAATAATAAAAAAACCCCACAACCATCAACAGGAAAACAATCAGTGGATTTAAATTGCAAACTAATCCAAGTTCAAATTGCTGTGATTTGATTCAAATTCAGATATGTGATGTGAGGTATTAACTGTAATATATTAGAAACTGATGCATTGTTGTTTGATTTACAAAGTACTTGAAGGTTTACTTTTTTAATAAAAAAAGCCACTTTCCCTATAAATATCTTTCTGTTGTGAGATCTTGGCCTTCAGATGTTTGTGCAACTCTTCCACGCTTTTGAATTAAACCATTTAGTCATGATACCATTTTTCTACCACTTCCCTCAGGGTGTCAATTCTCTGTAATTATGCCCTATATCCCTGTGCACTGTCTTGTCTGCTCTGACTTTTTCTAGTGCGTGATCCTTCTGATTGAAAGTGTTCTTGTTTTCTTGCTTTTAGGTGAAGGCAAAGCTTAAACTTAGGGCAGGATAACCTACCATTCATGTGGTCTGTAACAGTAAGTTAGTTTTCAAAGTGACTGAAAAATACTTTTTCTTTAAATCTGCATCCCAGCTATTTGTTACTGTACTTTTGTGACTTAAAAAAATTGACAACTAATTTGAATTAATTCTGAATGCTACTGCGTCCATGAGCCTGAGCTGAATTTTAAGAATAAATAAAATACTGCTGTCACCAACGTTTCAATGATTTTGCTTTTGTCTGTGTTGCTTTGAGCTGGCACGTTTCTGAGGGAGGAGTTTGGCCTGCCGGACGCAGAGCTGGCAGTGGTCAATGAACAGACTTTGACTGGGGTTCTGAGCGAGTTTGCTCATGAACTCCGGAAGTGTTCTGTGGGAGTGGCAGACGGGGATGGTGACCCAAAAAGCCTTTCTTAACGTGGGACACCTGTGACAACTGCTGGCTACATTTTTCACAGAGAAAGCCCACTTACCTTGTGCTTATCTGGGGATTTTTTTTATATTGTTTTCCTCCCGCCTGCTTAACGTTGGGAAAAGCAGTGTACATTTAACACAGTGTTCTGCTGATTTGTCAGTTAGCCCTTCAAGAAGAGTGTCTGTTAAGGCTGTAAGAGCAGTGTGATGCAGAGTGAGTGATGACTGGCACAGCCAGTGTGCTGAGAAGAGTTGTCACCTGCCCACTGTATGTTTTGTTTGTTTTCCTATTTGTTTTTTTTTCCCATGCTCTTTCATGTGGTTCTTCTGGCTAGACAGCTCGTTGTCTTTAGCGTGTCGTGTATGCTAGACATGGTACCAGGTGAAATATGAAAACAGAAATGTGTGAAAAATCTTTCAGATAAAGCTTAAGAAAACTGGTATGTGCTAAAGTGTTTCTGAACTCAAAATTCAGTCTTTTGAATCTAGATGTTTATGTTGAAAAAGTCACAGTGTTTTGCTTGGAGTGTTGTCTAGGAGCTGTTGTGTGAGACCTACTGAGCCAAGTGAAATTCTTTGGTATGGTGTGAGCCCAGAGTTAACTTTTTTCATTAATGTTGATCTAGTAGTGTTCCTGTAAGTACTATATGGGATTTTTTTGTTAATATGGTAGTAAGTTTTTTTCATATTTTGGGAGAAACTCATAGAAGTGAAGACCTGTATGAGTGAACGCTTTTATGTTACATCGGTGAAAGAAATGGCTCATGCTACTTGACAACAGAGTAAATGATACAAAAATAGCTGTTGAGGAGGACTGTGAGTACATTTGTGAACCTTGTTGACTTCTAAAAAGATGGCAGCATAGTCCTGCTTATTTTGATGGGGTGGGTGTTGCTGATTAAATGCAGATGAGGGCATTGTGTTTATAGGAGCAGGATTGCACAGCTTACGTTGAAGCTCTCTATTTGATTTCTTCATGTTGGCAACTTCTTGCTTCTACGGAAAAGGGGAGAGGGTGCGATTAAGTCAGTGATTTGCTTTCTGATTAAACAGTATGTTTCATAACACTAAGTCGAATAGCAGTAGAGTCATATTTGGACTGATAGAACTCCGTTTACACACAAATGCCATCGTGTTCAGGTTTGTTTTTATAAGCCCTAGGAGTGTTCTGAATAACATCTTTGTGTTTGAGACAGATTTGCATCTTTCTGGCCCTCTGCAATTGCTGTATCAGGTAGCGTGTGTGTGTTTGACTGCCCTAAGGTTGAAGTATGTTATCGGGGCACTGGCGTTGCTTGATGCTTGTAGAGTGCCAAGTAGTACTGAGAGCCACCATTGACATAGTTGGTATTCATGGATACCAAACTTCCCAGATTTTTACCAAACCCAAAGACCTACAGAGGGTGAGATCACTGTTTGCTTTTGTTTTGTTCAGGTTTTTTGGCTTTTTTGTTTATTTGTTTTAGGAATTGTGTTGTCAGATATGTAAGTCTGTGGCTTAAGATAAAAAAACCCCATGCGTATTTAACTAAAACATTTACTCTTTGCTTTTTTTGCTGCATCTGTGAAGAGATTTGCTGGAAAAGCAGAACTTCTAGTCATGCAGTTGTCAGAGGGAGAACATAACTGAAGAATTAGGAGAGCTTAGTAAAAGTGGTTTCAAGGTCTAGGGTTGTTAATATAAGCTATATAATATGTGTTAAAACACATACTTAAACTAAATGCTTTCAGTGATGCAGATTTGGAAGTGTTTTTTAATCTATTTGCTATCTATACAATTGGACAAATTTCAATTTACTGTGTAGGAAATGCCTAATAATTAACCAAAGACCTGCTGCTCCTAGTGTACATGCTGGTAAGTATCCACTATGTAGAACAATTTCCCAAAATGTTCATTATAGCATTCTCATTTAAATTTTGATACAAATATGAATTGTCAGTTTTTAAAATGAGTTGCCTCTTAAGTGCAATCTCTATAAATGCAGCAAGCTTTCCTTCATATTCTGGCATATGGTTTCATGGCTACTAGGAAAATGAGAACTAAAAGCAGTTCTGGGAAACAGATGTTCAAGAACACGCTCCTTTCCCTTTTATTTGTTATTCTATCTCTTCTGTATTTTTTCCCCATAGATAAATGGGTAAGTGGGTAATCATATCGAGATCCCATGCCAGATCTTTTCTCTGAATGTTAGGAAGACCAATTAACTGTTCTTATCCAATATTAAATTATAGAATCACAGAATGCATCGAGTTGGATGGGACCTTAAGTGTCACCTAGTCCAACCTCCCCGCAGTAATACCTGATACAGTCTTACAGGTGTATAGGTATGATATCTATATACAAGCAAAAGGGTTCAGTGAGTTCATCTCTGCTGTTATATCTTTATAAAGGCATTCTGTGACTGCTGCATTTCACCATCATGTCTTAAATCTAGTAAATGCAATTATTATAAGCCAAAAATTGTTTTGTAAGTAGATAAAACAATTGATTACAGCCAGATACCTAAAAAGACCTCAGTGTAAAGTTTGGAGACTGCATTTCTTTGGAATCGGGTACCTTGTGGGACAATAAAATCCCTAAAGGAATATAAAGCAAGTCAAGTATTAAAACACCTGTAAAAGAAAATAAAACAACACTTGTGTGGTCCACAACACGTCAATACATGTGACAGTAGGTAACGATTCTCTTGACAAAAGCATATAAATAGGACAGAGGGAAGAAAAACAAAGGTTGAGCTAATGGCAAATGAATTGTAGTCACCATGTCAAGGGCTCAGGAAATATTTTTTGTTTATTTCACATTTCTCACCACTACCATGGTACTTCTGCAAAATAATGAAGGTGAAATGGAGGGTGAAGACAAGTAACAGTGTTAGTGTTCTCATTGTATGTGTTTGGTATCTCTTTATGTCTCACTCTCTTTCTATATATGAGAGAAACAAGCATATTATGATAATATAACCTCTTACATAATAACAAGTGTAATCTTATGTAATTAATTTTTTATTTGTGTCTATATATGCACATAAATACAAAGCGTGCATTTTCAGTTCCACTTCTTTTGAGATAAGATAAAAGCAGAGAAATTCTGGAATTGGTAATGAAAGTGAGACAAAATCCTCAATTTGACAGGATTTATAAAGACTGAGAAGATCCCAATGGACTAGAAGAGGAAAAAAGAGTGAGGATGGAGGAAATTCACTGTGTAAGAGCAAGAGGTCTTTAATTCTGAAAAAATTACAGTTTTGAAGTTGATACAAGGGGAAATATATTTAATAGTACATAAACATAACACCTAGCATTTACTTATTAGGATGTCCAGAAGTTTAAAAGCTTAGTGAGGTTTGAAGTCTTAAGAATTCATATGAATGCCCTTCTTTCATAAGCCAGCTACTAACTTGAGAATAACAAATAGCCTCTGTAGTCACTCTGCACTAGATTGAGTTGCGTATTCTTTGAAATAGCTTGTGCTATTCACTGTCGGATATCTGGACTAGGGGTCATTGAAGGGGCAATTTTGTTACTCTGAAATCAGTGTTGCTGGATTTCGTCTTCATGCAAAAGTGGTTTTATACTGAGAATACTTGATTTTCTGAGACATAGATACTTAAAATGTTATTTGGGCTAGTTCATGTGGTTGTGGATTATTTAGTTTTACAAAAGGCAAGACAGAAATTGAAAATACTCTGCAGATTTTCATCATGAAATCATAGAATGGTTTATGTTGGAAGGGTCCTTAAAGATCATCTAGTTCCAAGCCCCTGCTACTTACACTCTTGGTTGTGCTTGTTGAGCAGCTACTCTAATGGTGTGTCTATCATGTGTAGAAATAATCATTTGGTACTGTTTGGAGATTTTAATTTGTAAGATCTTGTGTTCATACAGAAAACTGTTTTGTACCAACCTCTGAGATCATTGCTGTAGAAGAAACGGAATGTAACAAGAAACAGCGTAATATTGGCAAATGGCAAAAAATGGCAAAGCCGCACGCTTTCACAGGTAAGGCAAACTGAGTGTCAGGATGCTCGTGCTAATTATTTTATTGGAGGTACTTTTGAGCAGACTTAAAAGGAATCATCAGAATTTTTTAACAGAAATGATGCATTTAAAAAAAAGACAAAAAAACAGAACGCCTCCCCCTCAGAACACAACCACCAAAAAACCCCGCCGCAGAAATGCCCACAAATAAAACCCCCAAACTCACAAAACCAACCAGCCAAACCTGTATGAAAAGTCTGGTAGTTTACGTTTAAAGGTTCTTATTTTGGAAAATTAAACCATTCATTTAACAATGCGTGTTGTGTTCAGTTATTTAATGAAATCCTAAGTGATGTCTCATGTTTCTGGTGCTGAATGACTGTGAAGCAGGACAGTTCTTTTCTACTGCTGGACTAGAAAATAGAGAGGCTGTAAAAATAAATCTTAAATGCGTGAGGATTTTTTTAAACTATCCCTGACCATCAGAAGGTGTGCATCTAGAAGTTCTTTGTATTATTGACTGCATTCTTAAGATGAAGTACCAGAAATAAAGTTCTGAAAGAGTGGTGACTTCTGTGCTGCAAAGCTGGGGCACATGTGATTGCTCCCATGCCAGAATTTTATATTACAGAGGACTTTCCTCATATTTAGTCCTTCAGTAAAAACGACTGGTGATAATACAGATTTAAAGGTAAGGGTGCTTCTTGTGTTGACAGCCTAGTTCTTAATGCATAAGAAAAGTAAATCTTTTTTCTCAAATCTCAGCTCTGTGAAATTAAATTCACCCTGTTGTTACACAGGAGCTGATGTGAGCATTTGGTTTATGCTCTTAAGCTTATGGCATTCTGTATTTTATAGACATTGCAGACTTCAATACAGATAAAATACTGTATAAGCTCAGCAAACTTTTGCTTGTCCATAAGCACTTTATGGAGAATGGGTTGTATTTGGTTTAAAAAGAAATTTATGTTTGAGTATCTGCTATAAGGTAATGAACTAGGCGCAAGTGTTTTTATTTATGTTTTCATTTTGGCTTTTTCAAGTTTCCTGTTCACACTCTGAATGCTTCTGCCGTTTGCACAAATATGTAATTAACACTTTTTTTCTCACAGGTAGCTATTCTGGAGATCTCTCTGAAATGCATTTGTTGCTTCACAAAACCGTCTCATTGCACCTCTTTTTCCTTTTTGAATTTATTTTATTTTAATAGTGTATTATGTGAAGAAATCGCGAAATCACCGCTGGCGGTGCAGTGATGTCACGTTTTGGTGTGTTGATGAGCACTTGTGTAATCAGTGGATACAGGCGCTGAAGGAATCACTGGAAATGCAGAGTAAGTTTGACTAAGCCACTAACATTTGCAGCATTGTTTTGCAGGCACGTATTTCATTTAATATTATTTGACTATATCTGCTTTTTTTAAACTCTTAAGAACAACTTGTGCTCAAAAGTTAAGGGAGTTGAGAGTTGAAGTGTCTCCTTCTATCAGTACTCCTGTATCTTGCATATTTGGTGAGTTGTACCAAGTGTTTAATCAGTCCTGATTATAGGTGTCATTCAGTTTTGTCCAGACGTGAATATTTTCACAAAATAGGGACATACTAGAAACTTAGCAGGGGCTTTAAGTGACTGCAGCTTTGGAGAAAGTAAAGTGCAAATGTAAGCTCAGAGATTTGAGGTACTTTGGAGATCTGAGGACAAGGGTTATAACAATTGTAAGATTTATGGGTGGCTTTTCAAGTGTCTGTCTTGCCTTTGCAGGTTCTCTCATCAACAATGTGCCTTATGTAGTAAGAGTTTCCATTAATCATTTCTGAGACTTTTGGACGTCGGCTTTTTGGAAGGCTAGAAGTAGTTTGCAGGAGTTATTCCTGGAAGACATGCCTTGATGAGTGTCGGGGAGCAGCAGGAGCAGAGCAGCTCCGTGACAGGCGCAGGCAAGGATGACCATAGCACAGGCTGCCCTGGGTGCAGTCTCAGCGTATCTGAGCAGGGATGGAGATAGCAGCAAGTCTGACTTACAGCCGAGATGAGGTAAAGTCATCAGGTCCATCCAGGGAGGCCAGATACAAGCAGCAGGAGCTGGAGGCAGAGCTGGGGTTTAGCTACCTACAGCAGAGGTCTGGCCTTAATCTGAGACACAGAGCCAGAGGAGGGGCTGAGTGCAAGTATGTCTGTGATGTGACTCAAGGATCACAGAATAAAAATGGGTATTTGACAAAAATTCTTCTTCTGAACTTGCACTGGAAGCATGTATCTTAGTAATTTCATTGTATATGTTACATGATTTATCTGACTTCCACTCACATGTTTCAAAAATCAGTGTTTGTGCACCCATTCGCTCTTTGTGGGAGATGTAACCTGGGCAGTAGTGTCTGAGTGCGGGTGTTCGTTCTGTTGGTAACAAACTATATCAGAAAAGGTCACAGGTTCTCAGAGAGGTGAATGGTGCTTTGCCTGTGTGGCAGCTTTAAACCATTCAAGCAGTCTAGCTTGGGTGGATTTACTATGCAAGTGTGTTGATGCAATACCTCTGTTCTATTCTTTCTTTTTTAAATATTAATTTAAAATGCTACCTGAGGAAGTGCAGGAAATGTTATAACAGCTCTTCATGTTCTGTACAAAAAAGGAAGGCTCTCTAGGTGCGGCAAGCATTGCTGGTTTGTGTATCTGTTAGTACAGAGATGTAATAATTGTCTTCATTGCCACCACCAGTGTAAATCCGTAACTAATTCAACAAATTTGAGATAGTGGTATCAAAGGTGTTTTCTGGGGTGAAGGGGTTACACTACACGGCAAGCACTTGCTGTGCAGCGTGTAGTTTTGTTGGGGTATTCTTGTGTCTTTATCACAGAAAGGAAATACATTTTATATATGCTACCAGAGCTACATTTTTAAAATAAATTAATGTGAAAGTGTTTCTATGTATGCTTCACTCGCGAGTGGCTTTCCTGTTGCTGCCCTTAGTTTCTCTTTTGACTTGTGTGCCTGTGCTAGAGCTGTGCTTCATTGCAACAATCACATGCGTAAGAATGTGAGACATGGAGTCAAATGAAATTATTCTGAATTTCACTTGCTATCTTATTACCAGTTGTTCAATACTGTTACTGTCTGCACTATAACAAAGAGGATAAATAAAGCAGGTTTTTATGATAAAGAGTTAAAGAGTTACAGCAGCTAATAAAGAGTTATACAAGGCTCGTATGCTGCTTTCACTTTGGTGTTTGCAAGTTTGTTTTTGTACAGCTTGTTGTATTTTTGTGTTGTGCACAGAAGTGGTGTACCATAATGTTTTTCCTTACTGCAGAGTCTAGACCAAAGAATTTGCTGGTGTATATTAATCCATATGGAGGAAAGCGCCAAGGAAAGAGGATTTATGAACAGAAAGTAGCTCCACTCTTCAGTCTGGCATCTATTTCCACTGATGTTGTTAGTGAGTAATGAATCTTTTAGTTTCTTAGCAGACACAGTATAAACTCCTTAAAACATCTCTGAGTAACTTAAGTTCTTTCTGTTACTTACCTTTTCTTACTAAGGAAGTTGAAACTAAGTATTAGAGAAGGAGTGTTTTCTAATTAAAGTGTAGGTAGTCAGATAAATGGTGACCTTATATCAATTCTCTGCTTGTGAAACTAAAACTTCTGGTACTTCTGAGCTACTTAAGCCTTCATTTATAAGATATTGCTTTTCTTCTTTTTTTTCAGTTTTACCGTTAAAACCATTTGTTCATTTGCACAACTTTTTAGTGAATTATTTTTCTATATGTACTGCAGGACATATCTCTTTCAGTTCTTTCCTTGGCATAAAATCTTTTGAAACACATTTTATAAGAAAGAAACACATTTTATAAGCAGGCTGTTTTATGGTCACGTTGGTAATATAATCATGTTTAGTAATTAATCAATAACATTTTAATTATTATATATTATATACCATGTTATAATAGTGATTTTTGTGTTTATTTCTTCATAGTAACTGAACATGCTAACCATGCTAAGGACAATTTATTTGAAGTTAATATTAATAAATATGATGGGTAAGTAGCTTCACTTGCCTTTTTTTTCCTAGTTGATATATTCTGTAATCTGTCGGTCTTGTCCCTAATTTAAAATGGATTGCTGATAGGTTTATTGCAACAGCTGGAAATTTTGTGACGTATTCCTTCTCCTAGAAGATCCATTTTTAGGAGTATTGAAGGGAAACTAAACTATTTCAGTAAACTTATTCAATATATGACATATTCAAGCATAGTATAACAATGTTTATGTAAGGTTTGTGTTTAGAAGATGAACATAAGTTTAATTCTGCTTATCCAGAAGTTGAGCATTTTGTGGTAGCTCAAAAGCCACCCTGAAATATTTTGTGGTATGGGTGATCTTGATACATACCTGAGTCCAGAACACTACATCAGTAGCATTCAGCCTGTGTGTGAAAACCATGAACCATTTACAAACATTTCAGATAGTTTTTGCTATGTAGGACTGTTCAAATAATGGCTACATCATTTGACTTTATTTGTGTGTTCTTTTGGGGAATTACTGTTTTAAAGGAAGACCTAACTGAATGCTGAAGTTGCATTCTGTTATTAAATGTGCTGTAGAAACAGAATATTTTAATAAGCAAGCTAGTCATTCCAGTTTCCAGTTCATGACATGAAACAAGTTACTTGAATGGAAAACCATGAAAATGCGTGAAGAACCTATGCAGATAAACTCTCATAAATACAGTATTTTAAAATTGTACCTTCTTGTGCTTCTTGATAGGTACATTTAAACTGGTAAACTGCAAAAACGAAACACTTGTTGTCTTTTCAAAGTACTTTTGCTAGAGGGGCAAATCTCTATGCGCTATATACATTAAGTGAGGGCATGATGGTAACAAATTGTGGTAAGAAACTACATTCACAGGTTGAATTCCTAGACTTCATCTGCTTAAAATGGGTTGACTTTAAATGGGCAGTTTTGACTATACCTATATTTTTCTTAATTTTGCTGAAGTGCAAGGAAAAAAAACTGGGATCCTAGGAAAAAAAACTACTTCAGATTTTCCCTTTTCGTCTGACTTAATGATTTGAAATAGGTAATATTGATGGTTGGTGAAATTCCAAATTGGAGCAGAAAAGGGAAGCCTGTGTCACAGAGTCTCAGAATTGCCTACATGGAAAAGATGTTTGAGATCATTGAGTCCAACCATTAACTTAACACTGACAAGTCCTCGACTAAACTGTATCCCTAAGCACTATGTCTGCACAACTGTTAAATGACTCAACAGGGATGCCACCACTTCCCTGGGCAAGCCATTCCAATCTTGACAACCCTTTCTGTGAAGAAATTTTTCCTAATGTCCAATCTGAACTTCCCCTGGCATGAGGCTGTTTCCTCTTGCCCTATCACTTGTTACTTAGGAAGAAGGACCGACCCCAGCCCCACTACAGCCTTCTTTCAGGGAGTTGTAGAGAGCAATAAGGTCTCCCCTCAGCCTCCTTTTCTCCAGGCTGAACAACCCCAGGTCCTTCAGCTGCTCCTCACAAGACTTGTGCTCCAGACCCTTCACCACCTTCATTGCCCTTCTCTGGACACTCTCCAGCACCTCAGTGTCCTTCTTGTAGTGAGGGGCCCAAAACTGAACACGGTACTCGAAATGAGGCCTTACCACTGCCGAGTCCTAGCAAATTTGTTTTTTACAACAAGTGGCAGTGACCAATGGTAGTGGTGACTGAGGTGTTTTCGGCAGATTCAAATAATCTCTTATTGTAGAAACTATTATTCTTTTTTTGCTTTTTTGTGGTTTTATGTTTTTTCTCTCTAACATGACTGAGCTAAACAGTTGGCCCGAGAACTGCATCTCTTTAAAATCTCTTGATTCTTCTATTTCCAGGCTGGGTCTTAATGGCAGTTAGCTTGGGAACTGCACCTTGTCTTTTAAGCCTGATTTTTCTCCATTGTGTACAAGTCTGGTTTTGTCGTGAACATTGATATTAGAAAGGAGTTCTTGTGTTAATACTACTTTTTAAATAACAGATCACGTGGTTATATGAAAGATTTTTTTAAATGGTTGAACCGCATGAATGCATACATGTGTGTTTGGTTGACTTTTCTTATATATAGGAAAAACTTCTTTGGATTCCCACATCTAATTTTTCTTCATTTATGCTCTTAGACTAGTTCCAATAAGTGACTTTCCCTTCATTCAATAATGAGTTTCTTCATTTACTCCCCAGATTCCCCATTTGGCAAAGCTGTACCTGTAACTTTGGAACTAGATATAGGATTCTTAATGATAACAGCTTCACTGCTTCCCAAGTCTATTTACTTGAGATGGCATCTTTAAACCTCTTGTGCGTGTTTCTTGTTCGTTCTTCCCATTTCCCCTTAGAAGATTTACTTAGGGTGAGTGTAGTAAACTAATAGCTCAGTAATAGAACATCTTCTCTTTAAAGACAGTTACTTAAAATATTCAGTTGCAGTATAGCAGATCTTTGTTCGTCGTTGTGCAGAATGCCTAGAGCATGCTGTAATATTGTGCAGGTAATGACTGTGTTTAGAGTAAGTCTGGTATGTATGAATCGCTATCCTTCCTCATCCATATGGCTGTTCCACAAGCCTTTGCAAAACTGTTTCAGGAAGTCATTTTCCTAGTTTTTGAATTAGTTCACAGAAGGGACTGTAATTCTTTTAAAACTGATTTATGTTGTGGAGTTGCTTCTCCTAAAGTCCTTTAGCATATGCAGACCCTTGAGTGATAGTCCATCAGAGAGATCACCCGTCAAACCCATATCTGTCCCATTTAGAGAGAAGACTGTTGTGCGGGACTGTGTCAGAGGCCTTGCAGAAGTCCAGATAGATGACGTCTATTGCTCTTCCCATGTCCACTGATGTAGCCACTCCATCCTAGAAGGTCACTAGGTTGGTCAGGCAGGACTTGGCCTCAATGAAGCTCTGCTGGCTCGAATCCCTTTCCTGTCCTCCACGTCCCTTAGCCAGAGCTTCTAGGAGCATCTATTCCATGATCTTCCCAGGTGCAGAGGTTGATAGTTCCCAGGGTCCTCCTTTCTACCCTTTTTAAAAATGGATGCGATGTTCCATTTTTCCAGTCACTAGGGACTTTACCTGACTGCCATCATTTTTCATGTATCATGGAGAGTGGCTTGGCAGCCAAATCCCTCGGGACTCTGGGTTGCATTTCGTCAAGTCCCGTAGACTCAGGAAGATCTGTCTTGCAGTAGTTCTTCACTAGGGCCCTTCACACGTGAATTTGATCATGCTGATACTGTGTATGTGAACTTTTTTCTCTGACAACATTTACCTTTGATAAGTATAGACATTTGTATCATTGTTATCTCTGAGGCTGGATGTAGTGTTTGTTACCAATAGACAGCATTGACCTTGAACTGATGTGGAAATTTTTGTCTGCCTAGCCTCTTAGCATCTGCAGAGAAAGAGAAGATAGGCTAAAGTTGAGGAATATTGTAATTAAGCTATGAGAAGTTAATTAAAAAAATGTAAAACAACTTTTTCTCCCTTCCAGGCTTTTAGATCTTGACTTTGAGTTGGACAGTGTGTATTTTTAAGACTGTCCTTTCCTTTCATGGAAAAAATGACTGGGTTTTTCAAGCTTTCCTTCTGCTGAAAATACAATAATAAGTAGATTTAAATCATCAAAACTTAAAAAATTAAACAACCTAACTTGTCGTATGAAATAAGTGCACATTCTGTAGTAGATATTCCTGACTGTGTGGAAGAGTAAGTATTAGTTCATGCACTGGAAATGATTGCTAGAGATAACAGTAAACATTCCAAACATACGTTGAGGACTACATAACTTTGGATTTTTCATGTGATTCTTTAAAATGTATTTGAATTAGTTTTTCAGTTGAAGAATGTTTGTGCTTTTAGAGTTCAAGATGTGCATTTTATTACTGTACATTAAATGTATACTGCTGTAAAATAGTCTTTTACTTCCTAGTCTTTGCTTGACTGTGGACTCTCTGCTGAGCTTTAACATATTGAGGATCTGTGTAGCTCCTGCACCAGCTCTGACCTGAATTAAGTTTACAAAACAAAGTTTTGCGTCTGGTAACATTTAGAACTCTGTGTTTCGTTATGAGTGGTTATGTAGATATACATGACTTCTGTCTGTTTGATGGGCTCTCAGCATGTTCAAAAGAGCATGCAGGCATGCACTCTTCTGTTGTTTGACTTTTATATAATGTATATCCCTATTAAATTAATAGTGTAAAATATACTTCTGCCTGAAGTCACAAATGTTAACTTTTTTTATTGAAGGTACTCTATTTCCATTTTGTTTACTTAGAAAGCTGTATGTACGGTGCTGTCCAGTGTTTTCCTTGTATAGTGAATTTCCACTGGTATTTGTTTGTCTGCACACAGCAGTAGAGGATAAAGATACTTTATTAGGTTGTGTTCCAACATTTTTTTCCTCTAACATTACAGACATGACTAGGTGCATATACAGTTGTGTAGCTTGATTTTTTTTTTTTTTCCTGCTTTTTGTTAATTGCCAAGTTGGCTGTGGGCATTCCGTAAAAATGAAGGAGGAGAATGGAACAACTATTTTTTGATGTGCCCAGTGCATGCTCTAGATAGAACACTTGCTGTGTTTTTTATTGACTGTTAGTGTGCATTCTAATTTGTGTTTCCTGGCAGTGTTGTTTGTGTTGGTGGGGACGGCACGTTCAGTGAAGTGATGCATGGTCTCATTGGAAGAATGCAGAAGGACTCTGGCATAGACCAGAATAATCCCAAAGCACCGTTAGTCCAGTGCAATATAAGGATT